AACTCAAGGACCGCGAGAGGATAGTGAAACAAATTGCGAAAACGAATGACTTGATTTCGTAAAAAGCGCTTAAAAACTGGCAAAATAGATAAAGATATTGGAGAAACACTTAAACCTATCATCGAACTTTTAAAACAGATTGTCGAAAACACCGCTAATGATGAATCTCAACCAATTAAGAAAGAAGTTAATGTTAAAGAATAAAAATATTAAGAAAAGAAAACCTGAAGATAACGAAAATATTCATAACGATGAAGCTAATGGTGATAATTTTTGGATGGATAATTCATGGCTTCAATTAACACTGTCGTCTAAAAAGCAACATACAAAAGAATCGAACGTTACGTCGAATTCCAATTATGTGTCGCTTGAGCCACGCGAATTATCATATGAACGTTCGCACATTTCCTCAATCCAAGACGTTTATGAAACGCCCATTGAACCATTTGAAACGTTAAACAATCTTTGCAAACGCAAGTTCGTGAGGAATTGCATAATCAATTGGGAGCACTTGGACAAATACGTAAACATGCTCTTCGGTAGTGACAGAAAAAAGGAAATCGATTTATGCCACATACCTCAGCGAAAACGGCACGATGCTCGGTGATAAATAGTTCGATGTGACGAATGATTTTGTAATCGTAAATGAAGTAAAGTACAAAAGTACACATGGTTTCTATGAATTACTTTTCTAAAGAATCGATGACACTATTTCCACAGAGGATGATAAACTAGCGTACAAAAGTATACTGTTGGCAATGAATGCTCATAGTCGCAATTATAATGCGGATAATCAAATATTGGGTAAAGTATACAAATATAAAAATATAATAGCATCCTTGTATCAGGCAAGATACCGGTTGAAATGGTTTGAATATACCACGCGCCAAGAATCTAAACAACAAGTCAGGTAAAAGAATCGGAAAAGGTGTAAAACCACGTACCATGACTCTAAATGACAATACAATCGATTATGTTCGTTGAGACGATCCTAACGAGCTAGTGGATCATCTCCGATTGCTTGAGGCCTCGCGTTAGGCAGGTCACAACGTCCACGATAACGAAATATTGTCTATTATCGAGGAGCTTCGTGAAGCTGGTTTAATATAAATTGAAACGAGATACATAGTCATTTTAGTTGACATCGAAATGCCGATGAACAACGTTTTCGTAACTTTGACACTTTATTCATTATAGCAATAATCATAACATAACGTAACATGTCTAAAGAAAAGTGGTGACTGCACACTACGGAAAAAATTTTCCACGCAGACGTGTCATAGTTTACGGATACGATGACCTGTGGCAGGCTGACATGGTCGAGATGCGCCCTTACACAGGGTAACACTACATTCTCACCGTTATCGATGTGTTGAATAAGCACATATGGGCCGTACTGCTGAAAACCAAGAGAAATGAGATAGCTATAGCGATCGCAAAGATAATTAGAGATGATGGAAGATGTCCGAAAAATTTGCAGATATGGAAAAAGAATTTTACAACGCAAACGTGTAAAAATTCTTGAAAAAATATAACATAAATCATTATTCAACATATTCCATAATGAAGGCATCTGTCGTTGAATGGTTCAATCGTACAAAGAAAAACGATATGTGGAAACAATTTACACACAATGGAAATTATAAATGGATCGATTTGCTTCCACGTCTCGTGTACAATGCACGAAAGTATCGAACTATCGATATGCGGCTCATAGATGTAACTCTCACGATTGCTGACAAACTCTTAAGTACGGCGTACAGTAGCGTAAAGGCTATTGTATTCGTATGATTCAAAGTGGATAATTCAATACGTATGAGCAAATTCAAAACGATCTTTAAGAAAGTTACACGCCAAATTGGACCAAGGAAATATTTAAAATCATCAAAGTATAGAAAACTAATCCTGTGACGTACTAGAAGATTACCATGGGAAACCTGCCGCTGGAGGATTCTACGAGTACGAGTTGCATCGCGTCGCTAATCCTGACATACAGGGTGATTCAAATGAATATATTATCCTTGAAATGTCATATTATTATAAATCACTACCGATTAATTATTCGTCGACTGAATATCACTCAAAGAAAAAAGCACACGATTGTTTACTAACACACGACGCGTTCAACGATAGCAAGCAGTTGATCGATTTTATTGGTTATGTTTGTACTAGCTGTCAAAACACGGACGTCTCAGTCAGAATCGAATCGATATCGGTTCGATATCGTTCGACGTCCAAAGCATCAAATCGACATCGAATCGATCAATATCAAAAAATCAATATCAGAATATTTCATGTTATGTTGTATAATTGATTGTCAGCAATATGACATTTCAAGGATAATATATTCATGAATCACCCTGTATATCTAGTTGAAAAGATGTTGCGTAAAAAAGGAGATAACATTTACGTGAAATAACTAGAATTTGATAATTCGCGCGACTCTTGGATACACAAGGATAGTGTGTTATAAAAATAAAATTTATTACAAATTGTATAATTATTTTTTTTCTCTATGTAAATATATATTAAATATTAACACATTATACATGTTATACACATTATACATATTTACAGATGCATACATACACACGTACATACACATATACATACATACATATGTACATACGTATATATGTAAAAGAAATGAATTTTTTTATAATAATATTTTATAATGTCCTCATGGCAGCGTGTTGGTATACATAATTTTATATTTTTCGTGAAAAAATGGTAACATATTATATTCGTGGTGAAATTTGTACAAACACGTTTTAGATATATCGAGGATGCACATACCCACATATATCGGTTTGTCGAACTTCACCTCGAGTTTCCGCGACCAGATTCTCGGAAAAAACGCTTCTATGAAAGTTTGGTTTCGCGATCATTGCCTCCACATTATATCTGCCTTCCCATTTTGTTAACAATTTTACATCGATGTAATTACGCACATTCTCTATGGTCTTGCCGAAAACCGCGTTGTTCATTAATTTAAATAAGTTTTTTTCAAACTCATACTTTGTTAAAGTTCTAAAATTTGTATTGAGTACTCGCGAAGCCATAGAAATTGGGCGAATTGTAGTATACGATGGATCTTTGTAATGTGGAAACCGTGTATATTGCTGCAGAGTGCGATAATATATGATGTTAGGCTTTTTATCAATGTCGCGAGGAGCTTCTCCTCTCGCTTGTCGTGGTTTCTCGCGCGTTGAACAAAATGATAGATTGAAGTGCACATCATAGATGTTGCGGATACTCCAAATCAACCTCGAAAATGTAACCCGGAATCTAACGCGACATTCATAACGGCAAAATTGTCTACGTCGTCGATCCAGAGAAAATCGGCGTATGGCAATGGTTGACATATTGTCCAGCCGTACAGGTTGTTGATGTCATAGTACATCAGGTACGTCAATGGTTTCGATGGATCGTACGACTGCATGTACTCGTTGTTGACCTGCACGTACCTGTTGGAATATTGACTCAGACCGCCACGTATACCACGTTCGATGAATAAAACCATGTCAACGTCGGTAAGAAGTTCGAAATTGACACGAGTATGTTTCAACATCGCGTCCCACGTAAAATCCGGTAGTATATAATAATACGTAGGATCGAGTCTATAACTGATGATGCAACTATCCCGAAAATTCTCAAATATATACCAACAACAATACATCTGTTTTTAAGTACAAGTCACCGAGTGTTTGAATAAAGAATCGCTGTCATATGTTCACGGCGTGCGCGTAATCACTTTCGGATACAATGTCGCCCGTTAACGAACTATAAAACGATTCGCACGAAGGTAAACATGTATCCTCCAATTTTTTGACGCAGTCAACGTACTCGTACAGAAATACATCTTTACGCGTAAATAGATCGAAATTTTCCAAGTTGAAATTAAGAAATTCTGACAGCGTAATTTTCAATTTATTTTTATCGAGATACGACGCTAATTTTTTTAATTTGGTACTGAGAAATTTAAATGAATCTATAAAACGTACTTTTACACAAGTTTTCTTTTGATCATTTTTGATGCTATCGACATATTTTGTAAATGAAATGTATTTTTCTTTAATTATGAAAAGTAGTTCTGTACGTCTTTATATGCGATAGCTATATTCTTGATAATAAAATGTGCGTCGTAGCCCGATAAATTATGAAAAACAGGAATGCAATATGAATCTTTGTAGCCTCTGTATCGCCCGGTCAAGTGGCAATGATCGCGTACCCGTGTATCGTCAGGCGCAAATGATTTTTCGCACACACATAGCACTTAAATTTTTGCTAATCATCTCGTAAAATCTGCCAGAAACATTAGCAGACAGGATAGTATTTATATTATGCGCTAAACTTCTAATCTTCTTCGATCAATCACGCGACGCAATCGTTACCGCGACGAAAACGATATATCGATAGCAGGTTGTCATATGAACAACACGCGTAATTCCTGATGCTAAACACATTGTGATGTTGGTACCTATATGTTGACGTATTCAGGTCTCTCTTCATCTTCTCTAGGATGCATTCCAAGTCGGCGTAGACCTCGAATGGGATGCGCTCCTTCCTGCAGTGATTGTTAAAACTTAACTACTTGTCATCCTCGCTCGACAACCTGATGGCACAATCATTTAATTTTCCACAATCTACTACGTATATCCAGCTTTGCGCTAGATCCAAATAGTGCAAGCATCTGAAAAAAAGTATAATTTTTTTTATTGTCACAAAGAAGTTACAAAAAAACATTTTCATAATTTTCTATTAAATATATTATATAAATACTATATATTATATTAATATATACTATATATTATATACTATATATTATACGAGGGTAGGTTGAAAAGTAATGCCTCCCATGCTTTAAAAAAAAAGGAGGTGGGGGAAATCGGTATAGTTCGTTGCATCTCGTTGTGACATCTGTCTAGAATCAGTATGTCAAGTTCCGTGTTGGTACGAGCACGCGTTCATATTTTATTATCATGGAAACGAAAAGCAGTATGGAGATTAGGTTAAAGCAATGCGCAGTTATTGAGTTCCTCGTCGCAGAAGGGTGCGAACCTAAAGAGATTCATGCTCGTTTAAAAAGTGTTTACGGTGATGAAACGATTGATATTAGCAATGTTCGAAGATGGGTTGTGAATGCGAAAAAAGTTAATAGTGGTTCGCTTAAAATTTCTGATTTATCGAGGTCTGGTCGTCCGAAAACTGCGGTGACAGATGGCAATGTCCAAAAGATTGACGACTTGATTCATGAAAACCGAAGGATTACGCAGCATAAAATTGCTCGTATCGTGGGTATTTCTAAAGAAAGAGTGAATCATATTATCAGTAATGAGCTCGAGTATCGAAAGATTTGCGCGAGATGGGTCTCAAGGATGCTCACAGACGAAATGAAGAAGAAGAGACTTGACATGTGCAAGGAAATTTTGACTACTTTCCACTACTAAATTTTGACTAATTTCCACTACTAAAAGATGACCTTAAGGGACATTTCGACTCGGACAACGAAGTTCAAGAATTTGTGAATGCTTGGTGTCGGAATAAAGAGTCCCAATTTTTCGTTGACGGGATGGACAAATGGATACATCGGTTACATAAATGTATTAATGTCAATGGCGACTATGTCGAGAAATAATCATGGGATGTTTTTAAATAAAGATTTTTCTATCTACTGTAATTTTTTGGTAATTTTTTATCCATTCTAGAGGATTTTGTTGAGGTGGAGGCATTACTTTTCAACCTACCCTCGTATTATATTAATATATTTATCGCAAAAGTATTTCTTGTGTCCATATTTATTGATTTGTGAGCTCACGAGACGGGACAGATCCTTTATCCACGCAAAGTATCCGGCGTTACCATATTGCGGATCCTGCACGTACAGCAAATTGAACGTGCTTGTTCCTCTTCATATCGATGAATCGTAACGGAAAAATCCTCTTCTTTTCTTTTTGCTCCTCGATGTAATATACGTTGATTGAGATGTTATTCTGATTTTCGAATTTTCTTATTTGATTCAGCGTCATTGGGAACACAATATCTGTTTTTAGATTTAATACCGTTGTATAATGAGGATACGAAGCTGTCCTGTGTTACTTCTAACTGGATGTAGAGAGACAATCGCTGACCAGGCAAAACATACATTCTCCATGGATGTTGATCATCGCACTCTTCATTTTAATTTCTCGCGCGAATTCGATGCGACATCCTGCGTGCAATGGATTGTACTTGTTTACGTTTACAGTTAAATTCAGGATACGGGATAGCGTCCACCCGCTATCGCGTTCCTGGAATTCCTCCAGCGATGTCAGGATAGGATATTGACCACATGCGACGCGTGCCATTCTTGCAAATCGGGCGAACGGAAGAGTTGCTTTTCGGAACGTCATAGTTTCTCGTACTCACACTTTTATTCGCACGTTTATCACTCGATACAAATTCACCATTAAACACTGTGTTTATCTTAATATTATCATGTCTCTGCATAACACTTCGCACACGTTCCAGCACTATCTCTCTTGGGTCTTTAAGAAACTCAAGGCTCAATGTGTCCAGAGTTTATCACGGCACTGGTCAATATACAGTTTTCGAACGCCGTATCAATCTCGCGTCATCGAATTCCGCGCTATATTCAGCACCCACTTGCACAAAACGTTCGCGCACAGTATCAAATTTTCAAGTCTCGCGATATGAATGATCAGTGACGTGTTTAACACCAATCGACAATCGCGGATGTTTAGCGCGACTCTATTCCTCCAGCGATTCGATGAAATTATCGCAAGGCAATTCCCATATAAGAAACTCTTCTCGCGTATTCAATTGAGCGACTTGCACTATGAGATCACGCTCCGTTTGTTCCATATTGTTACTTTGAACTGTTTGTTTTGAACGATTGCTAACAAAATGAGTTCCTAGAGAAGAAAATCTTTTCTAATATGAAAAGATACATCATTTGGTTTGCTGCACATGTTTGAACAAGTTTAAACGTGTTTCCGAAGGAGTTTTATCGCAGTCGTAAAGATAGGTCGAAAAAATATTTTGAAAAGAGAAAACAGAAACTTTATTATCGATCCCCAAAGATAAAAAAAAAGAAGATTTGATATTGTCAAAGTGCATTCTTGTGGTATGTATCATTGTATAATTTAACAAAGGTTTGATAGTAGTTACACTGAAAAATAAGCTCACATATTTCTAAAGATAAGTAAAATTTCACATTGAATACACTGTCCCGAAATTTATTTTTGATAAGAGAATAGGAGCAGACAAACTTTATTGTCGTTGGCGCCGATCTCTTAGATAAAAAAAGTTTGATATCGCCAGAGTGCATTCTTATGATATGAATCAATTGGCTCACTGAATACGCCGAGGATTCAGTGAAATATGTAGCTATTAAAAAATTTATTGTTACAAAATGTATTTAAAATATACAACTGGCGATCGCAACGCCAAAAAGAAATGTATCAAATTTCAAATAAAACATGAAATTTTTTAAATATATATTGATTTCTTTCCCCCTTTCTCTATAGTTTAGCCTTTAGTTAAAATTAATACCTAATAGTTTTAATTTTAACTAAGAATTAATTAATAATAGCTGTTCAGTAGTACGATTCAATAAGTATTGAATTAGTCGATAAGAAAGCGCTTGATCATTTTTGTACTACATTACTGAAAATTATAATTGGTTACTAGATTATATTATTAAAAATTCATAAAAATATCATAATTGGTTTCTAAGTCGTATCATTAAAAATCGTAATACCATATAAAAATCGTAATATCTATTGTATTTAATAAAATTGTGTGCAAGAAGAGAAGATAACATGGCAGAGAGTGCAACGGGAGGAAGAGAGAGAGCAAATAATAAGTATAAGACTGCAACGAGTGGAAGAGAGAGAACTGCATCCTACAATGGATAGGAGAGAGAGGACAATAGGTTAAAGAGAGAGAAGGAACAAAACCTCTCTAACACAGACCCCCGGTGACGCGCTTTCCCTTCCTCGAACTCAACGTCTATGACTTCGTCTTCCCCACTCGTGACACTAGAGCCATCTGCTGATTGCTGTATCCGTGAGTTAGAATATATATCCTACTAATATGTATTTTGAATACATGTATTTCACTGCCCACTTCTGAAGATGCTCAAGTAACTCGTTGCGGCGACAGTGATAGGCTTTTGGTCCCGGGCCATTGAGAATCCGCCTCTCCACTATTGCCAATTGACGCTCGGCTAGCTGAGCGCGGCATCAAATAAAAATGATCGTGTATAATTAGCTGTTTATAGTTTTCACGGTGGCAACCTCATAATCGTCGGTTAATTTAACCGAGATTGCCGAAAAAGAGCCTTGGGATACCGTTTCTACTAATGCAGATTAACTTTACTCAGTTTAACTTACTCTTTATTTTTTTCTACTTCTCAGAATTGGAAAAAGATGAAGAGTTAATTAAACCGAGATTAAAATTGAACTATATTGGTAAAAACGAGTCTTAATAAAAAAATAATGCTGAGTCATAATACTAGAGGTGTGTACAAAGTGAACAAAGATAAATAATGATGCATTATGCATATCATGCGTGAAATGGAATGCACTTTAGATTGAGTCAACAATGATGCGATTCTAACTTTCATCAAAAATTTTTATATAATTTAAATATATTTAGTACTTACAAATTTAAAATAAAAAATACTAAAAAAAGTATTGAAATACAAAATACAAAATACTCTCAGGAAGTATTTAAATACAAAATACAAAATACAAAAATATAAATATGTATTTTAAATACATGTATTTCAAATACTATCCACTTTTAGAAGCGTGCTTATTTAACGAGACAAAGACAAGAGGGATTTTGTACACATATAAGCAGTCCAATCCAATCTTTATTCATTTCGTTTCGTTAAATTAAACATGTGTCAGAGCTAGATAAAAAGTAAAAAAATTATAACAAAACATAACTTATGTTACGTATTATAATAACCCAGCAAACACAAATATACCTCAAACATGTAACTCATACATAATTTTAATTTTTTGACTCGTAACAGTTAAGTTAAAAGTTACGTGAATTAATGGAGAATGTTCTCAAATTTGTCGTCCCATTTTATCTATAGTAGTTACATAATAGTGATATGATTTAAATGACGACAGGATTGATACATAACAATCATGTATTCAAATGAAATGCATACGTAACATTTATGCAATGCAAAATTTGTCACTGTGACATCATAAATGGGTGAAATTGTTATTTATTTGTTACTTATAGACATTGACCCGATTTCTTTGATTTGAAGAAGTTAAAGTTTTTTAGTTATTTCTTGCTATTAGAATTTAAAAAATAGTTTATAATAGTTTTGCGACTTTTTTTTAATGAAAGAAATATATTTTTAATACATAACAATAAATTTTCTTAAATAAAAACTATTTTTTTATGTAATAAAAAGATTACCGTTTTATCTTAACAAAAAAGTAATTTTTTTGTTGTTATTTACTTTTATTTTTCTAGTCTCAATGTATTATTTACTGTTTCGCATACCTATATTTTTGTCTTATTAACTATAATTAATTATTGAAAAATGCATCTCATCGCCAAGATTTGAACCTATGATTCTTAAAACGGTAACTTAATGACATTTACGCTAAGCTAATCGCACGCTTGTAATCGAGTCATTGCCAACGTTACTTATACCCCTTATTGTTTATATCATTCCTATATTAATAATTTCATGCCTCTGCTGATAGTTTAATATTATTAATATTTGAGAAGATTACATGGAAACTAAATAATATATATAATAGCTGATATTTATTCATTATTGTTAGTTAAGAAATGATAATAATCTAATTATGTTAAATACTTATCTTTTATATTTTTATATTTATAAATTTCGACATGACAATTGAATATATTATTATCCAACTGCATAAAAATATTTAACTGATAGCATAAAGCAAACTGTATAGAACCTAATATATATTTTAAATAGACTTTATTTACTAAATTATATTGATTATTTTGATTATTTTTTTATTGACAAATAATCAAAAATAATTTGTAATAATACTTATTGATTGATTGTTTCCTTTATTTTATCACATTTATTGTTCCTAGATTTGTTTATATAACAAATTCTCATTTCTCTCAATTCTTTAAACAAATGTAATCATTACGTAAAAAGTGACGTAAATTTATGAAATTATGAAATTTATGTAATTTATGAAATTAAGTTACATCGTAGTGATGTAATTTTATAGAAAATATATAATTTCATAATTTTAGTGATACGTATAACTGTTATAGAGTTACAATATACATTTCTGCAGATATAACCAAAACATGTAATTTACATCTTTTTCCATTATAGCTTTGTGCTGTAAATGTATTTTGTATTTGTTATGTCTCATTCATAGAATGGTACGTAGATGTAATTTAATTATATTTAATTTATATAATTATGTTATGTGCTAAATATATAATAAAGACATGTAACAAATTATCATATTTATATCAGTATATCTCATTTATGCTACGTCTTGTTATAAAACAGAGACATCTGAATAATGACAAAAAATTATATAATAGTACCAAATCACGTTTGCTTGTACACATGTATTAACTTGTATTAAAGGATCCATAATACATAAAAAATAAACTTTTGATACAAACTTAGTAAACTAAAATTGCATGTAACGTACTTGTTAATTGTAATTTTGTATTACAATTAATAATATAATTGTAATATAATACGTGTTACAATTGATCATACTAGAGAATAAATCGAAATCGAAAATAGACTGCGGTAAATGCAATGAGCACACGCCACACAATATCGCCAAAACGATATGCGCAGGTAACGCAGGCAACCGCCAGCATTCCAGAAATAATTGCGAATGGAATGCTCGGTTTCATGGCTAAAATAGTAGAAAATAGCTGTCACTTACTTAGCTAAGTACATTTCGTATTAAGTACGCTTTCAATTTTAACTAATACAATTGGATGTCGGCAGTAAATGTACGTATTTTATCTTCAATAGTCAACTTTTAGTAAACAGCAACTGATATTATTGTCTTTTTTTTACGTGCATGATACCATCTTATGTCCCCCTCGAAGTCACATAACTTTTATTTGAAACTTTTTTTAATTCCGTCTTCTCGAAATAGTATATCAATGAAACACTCCGTATACGTACCTCTCCTGTATGTATCAATGATAACGTCGCTTCGGCCACTTAATTTTTTGAAAATATTAATGCCCTCTTCAGATTTTAAATTTAATGATATCGATCTCTTTCCATGGCCCAAACAATCTAATGATTGAGTTTTAAGCTACAATATGATAAAAACAATCAGAATATAAATATTTATAGAATGTAACTCTTTACTTAAAAGTTATACTTTTGGATCGTATTGTGGATAAAATTAACACATTATGAAATATCTATCAAGAAGGGAATAAAGATTTAGAGAAAATAAATGTAAATTTCTAAAAGATACAAATATGTAAAAAAAACAAAGATGTAAATCTCTAGGAGACCAACACCAGCTATTCACGCGTACATCTCTGTAAACGAGAATGGATTGAAATAGATTCAGATTTTCAGAAATACGGAATCACGAATGTTTAAATGCTTTTCAATCCTGAATGTATTTTTATTCATTTATAGAAATTGCATGCGTCTCTGTCTTTTAATTTATAAATAATATTAGCATTTTTTGTGTATCGTGAATACCGTTTAATTCAAAATCGTAATAAAAATAAATACAATTTTTCAATTCAGTTGAATCTAAAAATAACATCAGCCATTTCTATGCACAGATGTGGACAAAATTATATTTAAATACAAAATACAAAATCAAAAAGTTGTATTTAAATACACAATCTAAAATATTCAAAAAATTGTAAAAACAAAATACTGAAAAAATTGTATTTAAATATTTAATACAAAATACTAAAAAAATTATATAATATTTAAATATAAAATGCAAAAATTTAAATACGTATTTTAAATATATATTTCCCATACTGCATACCCCTGAAGATATTCGAGTAATTTGCTGCGGAGGCAGTGGGTTTTTGGCCCCGAGCACCATCGAAAATCTGTTCCTTCACTTTTATCAATTGACGCTCTAGTTAGCTAGTGTCAATTAGTGAGACAAAAAAGACTGCGTATAATAGCTGTTTATAGTTTTCACGTTAGCAACCTTATAATCGTTGGTTAATTTAATCGGGGGGGGGGGGGGGGGGGGAAAAAGAGCCTTGGGACCGTTTCTATTAATAGATTAACTTTATTCGCAGTTCAACCTATTCTTTATCTTTTTCTAATTCTTAGAATTGGAAAAAAATGAAAAGTTAGTTAAACTGAAATTAAAATTAAACTATGTTGGTAGAAACGGGTCTTAATAAGAAAATAATACTGAGACACAATGTTAGAGGTGTGTATTAAAATTTTCCGTGGATGAAGTGATGGCCTTGGAGTATGAGCACAAGCCTCATACTCCCTTCTTATCAAGCCACTGAGCACACCTTTTCTTATTGTCGTAAAGAACCCATTTTTCATCACAAGTAATAATCCGATCGAAAAATGACTCTCGATGAAATCGGGTTAGTAATGATGAGCATACGTTCAATCGAT